GCAACCTCAAAAGGGCACCCTTACAAAATGACAAACCCGCATTTCTCAATGGTTTGTCCTGAAAAGGAGGTATTTGCTATGGAAAGGGCTGGACTTTCAAACTTTACCCTTACAACAAGTGGGTAGTGTGAGTAGGGCGTCCCCAGAAAAACCAGTGATCAATGGTGATCCAACATCCCCTCCGCTATCGATGTAAAGCCAGCCAAAGCCCTTTGAGCACTGAGCATGTCTAGGTCAGGGTGTGTGCACGGGTGTCAGGCCTTTTTTCCTGAATAAATCATCCTTCCTGTTGCCCTTCAAGCCAACCTGAAAAGGGATCCCTCGAGAAGAACCGCATCTTCACAGATCCCTCACTCGTCACTGTCCATGCCTGCTTCATTTGTTTACGCTCCAGTGATGAGCAGGAGCCATTGGATGGACCCCTTAAGGATCCTCGTCCCCTAGATACTAGTCACTCTGCAATGGCTCTTGCGAGGGTGTGAGTCAAAGAGTCTCTTTTCCGCTCAACGCACCGAGACTCGTGGGTGGTTGTAGTGGTTTCCTTTGAGCAATGTTGAACAAGAACAAGAACAAGAACCATGTCTGTTTCTTCTTTTTTCCTATAGAGACAAGCACCGAGGTTTCCAGAAGCAGAGGGAGTTTTGTCACGGAAGAACTGCTGTCTAGAGGTTTCCCTGTCCCAATTGTCAAAAACAGATCGCAGGTCTAGAGAGTTTCCAGAAATTAAAAAAACAGGTTGCCGAACCATACGCCCAGAGGTTTCCTCAGAGAGACTACCGAACTGCTGTATATCCAGAGGTTTCCCTGTCCCAATTGTCAAAAACAGATCGCAGGTCTAGAGAGTTTGCAGAAGTATATCCCCAGAGGTTTCCCCACCCCACCCCACCCGAACCCACCCCACCCGACCCCGCCCACCCCACCCCACCCCACCCCACCCCACCCCACCCCACCCCACCCCACACCCCACCCCACCCCACCCCACCCCACCCCACCCCACCCCACCCCACCCCACCCCACCCCACCCCACCCCACCCACCCCACCCCACCCCACCCCACCCCACCCCACCCCACCCCACCCCACCCCACCCCACCCCACCCCAGCCCACTGCCGCACAGGTCTACGACTTCGATATGCCATGCCCAAATTCCGCCACCATCCTGAGCCGCGCGGCGCTTGAGCAGCTCTCCGTCCACGCCTCCTGCAAGACTGGGAACCCCAAAACCCGCCAACAACCGGTTCAACCAGCGAATCCTCCGGTTTAACCGGCGAATCCTCCGGTTCAACCAGCGAATCCTCCGGTTCAACTTAGGGTTTTGAGGGTTCTTGGTTGCGGTTCCTGGGAATTTGTAGTGTTTTGTTGAGGTGGTTGAGTGGTTGGGTGTCCGAATTTCAGCCACAAGTTCGTCACTTTTCGCAGGGGATCGGGTTGGACAGCTCTCTCAACCTAAAAGGTCCCGAGGTTTGTAGGTTACTGACTCTCCGGTTCCCTTGATGACCTACTTTCTGGGGTTTGGTTCAACACTTCTGGGGTTTGTTCAACACCAAAAAGTTGCGGGAAATCCCATCGAAATTTGCTGGAAAGTCCAGGTGCTGAGATGTTCAGAGCCAACTCAGGTTGATCTAAAGGTCCGTGATACGTGGGATTCCCGTTTGGGGAAACCACTAAAAAGATAGCATATGGGGGGCTGATTAAAATATGGGATGACCATTGGTTGGAAAACCACGAAAACACTATGATATATTTCCCACACAATAAACGGGAGATGTTACCCATGGTCACAACTGGGGGCCAAAGGGATTATCGATGCAACCATTCTTGGTTTTGCTTGTCGATGGAGGACCTGCCCGTACACGGGTTCCAACTCCATCTCCTTGGCGTACTGCGCGCTCTACACCGCGGTGCCCCTGGTGCACGTGCCCGGCTTCCACTGCCACGACTCGGAGCCGACCGCCGAGGTGCAAAGGGGGGGGTCAAGTCGGAGTCGGACCGGGAGCCAAAGCTTTTTTTTCTTTTTTTTTTCCGTTTCTCCTTTTTGGTGGCTCTCAACAGCACCTTGTGGAGCCACAGGTGAGTTTCCTTTTGGTGTGATGTTCCCCGCACAATGACTTCGGCTTTCCTTTTGGCTTCCCTTTAAACCGACCCAAAAGGGTGCCGATCCAAGAAAGAAACACACCTAAATTTGGGTGGCCATTCCGTCCCCCTGGAGCAAGGCAGACTTGCTGGGCAACCACTGGATTGCAGCAGGCGGGAGTTGCATGCTGAGGATTAATTGGGGACTTTTTGGTGAACATCACTTGGGTGGGGATTTATGTCCAACCATTTGGGAGGTTGTTCCCGAACCATTTGGTTCTCCAAGCGGGGCATGTTGTGGGTGAGGAGTTCGTCGTTCACTTCCCCGGACTTTCCAGTGGCACTTGCCATGCAAGGGGTCCCGCTGGCCCCAGGTATCCTAGGGACCTGATCCATTTAGGTTCCGTCCAAACCAATCGAAAACACCAACTGTTGGTGCTCTTCTTTTTCTTAACCGGTCGCCAATCCAAGCCAAAAGGGTCTGTCTTTTTTTGAGGGTCCCCTTGTTTAGGTGGGTTTACCACTTACTTTTGGGGGTCCCCTACTTTGAGACAAGCCCAACCCAACTTGTGGACTCTGACCGATCAGACAATTTCTCCAGGTGGGCTTTCCATGTCCAAGGGCGAGCGATCGCACCCCTTCGAGCAGGACTTCCCCAATTTGGCGTGCAGCTTGTACGGTCAAGCCTTGGCGGAGTGTTCCGATTTGGCCCACGCCGCGTTCCGATTTTTGTTTCTTCTTCTTTTTTTTCTCCGGGGCGGCGGGGGGGGGGGGGGGGACACCACCGATGGATGGGAATTTAAGGTGGGTTTGAAGCCCAAAACAAACGCCATGTTGCTATGTTTGTCACATGCCAAAGGACTTCTGCCGTTCCGATTTGCTTTGAGGGAACCCCCTTGGGGGGGGGGGGGGGACTCCTCCGATGGATGGGAATTTCAGGTGGGTTTGAAGCCCAAAACAAACGCCATGTTGCTATGTTTGTCACATGCCAAAGGACTTCTGCCGTTCCGATTTGCTTTGAGGGAACCCCCTTTGTGGTGGGTTTCAAAGGGAAACCGAAGGAAACCCTTGCAATTTTGCGGGGTTCTCCTATTGTGAGACGAACCCATATTGTCGCAGCACCCCAAAACTCCCAGCCAGTTTCGGTGCGCAAGGCTGGTTTCAAGGGGTAAGGCTTGCATACACCTTCCGGGTGGAACGGCATTGCGAGTTTGACTGGAACTGTGGTGTCGGAACGCCTGCGCCAAGGCAGTCTGCCCTCCACAGCAGAGTGGACGTTCCAGCAGCTGGCTGAAAGGACCCCCCCCGAGTCGGAACCTGCGGATGCTCCAAAGGTCTTAGGCTTTTCAGATGCCGGATCTCATGTGGGAGCTGCAAGGAGCTGAACAACATTCGGCGTCCTTGTACTTTGGGGCCCATATTTATTTGAAATGAATGTAGCATGGAACAGGTGGTTGGCCAAATCCAGGGCTCATCAACCAGCTTTCAAAGCGGGTTGCATCCATCCCAACTGGCCTTTGAGCCCGTGTGATTTTCCAGTCTTTCCTCAATGCCGATGTTTGGGCAACACCAGGCGGGTTCCTTTTGGATGCTACGCACATGGTGGTCCCTTGGTGCACTCGAAGAACCCGTTAAATAGAGGTTGAGGCTCCCCTGCCATGTGCTGTCAGCGTGGCATGGCAGAAAGCTGGCCTTTGGCTTGCGTTGCTTCTGCTGTGAGTTAGTGGCCCATGTGAGCTTCATATTTCAGCAACTGTTCTGCAGCTGGCTTGGAGAGGACATGGCGGGCCAAATTAGATCGTTTCCGAACCTGGGTGTGTCGCTTTGTGTTTGTTTGGGATGGGTTAAAGGCAAAGCAAAAGGAAATCAACCTTCTTTTGGGGGTGTCCCCTATTCTAAGACAAAACCCTGTCCTTTCGTTGAACCATTCGCACTTTTGTCAGCGAGCTTATTGCCTCAGCTTGTAGATGGACCTAGGGCCTTTGCATGCGGATCCGCCACAGGATCCGCTTCTGTGAGGAGGCAGCGCCAGCACTTTGCTGCACTTGGCAAATTGTCTGGCAGACTTTCCAAATCCAATTGCTCCGATTGATGTCAATCGGTTTTTGCACTTGGCATAGAGTGGCTTTCATTGCTTGCGTCACATGGCTGCCGCTGATTGTATTCTGAGCTGTTGATGGCTTGCCTTTCCTTTGGACATACTTCTGGGATCAATCAGGCTTGGCTCCAAAACTGGCGCGGCTTTGTCATGAAAGGCAGACTGGACACCCCATGCTATGGCGACGACCTGCGTGTAGAAAAGCTGCAAGTTGGCAAAGGGCTTGCAGCTTGACAAGCTTTAGTACTCAGCCCCGTTGCTCATCGAGAAACTCGCCGTGGGATTTGAGTCCGACTCTAAGCCACGGGTGTTTTGGGGCTGTGCGGGTCTCGAAGTAGGGACCCTTTCAAGAGGGGTCCCCCAGCTCACCATCCCCCCCCCCCAACCAGGACCCAGGTTCCATGGCAACGCCCATGCCGCCCACACCCGCCCCCCACGTGTGGCCTTCCGGACTGGCAAGGCATCACTTGGCTCTCCCGACCATGACAGCCCACTCTCGCCCGAGACCGTGGATGCCTACTTCGAGGCCGGAGGCTCCGTCGCCGCTTTTGGCTCTCCAAGGCAGGGCTGTGGGAAATGGAAATCCGCTTCTGTGATACGACAAAACGGGCTTAAGACGAACCGAACCCCCATGCCAAGGGGGAGATTCCCTAAAGTATCACAGAAGTGGGGACAAATCCTGGATCCCACAACCCTGCTCCAAGATGTTTGACCAGGCGGTTTAACCCGGATGTCAATGTTTCGGGCAGTACAGGCCCGATGGCCTGGTTCCTCTGACATGGTGGAGGAGGTCTCCCTCAACGCAGCTTCAGTGCAGGCCACAAGTGACGGGGCCGCCAGCTTTGCATGAGGGGCCGTTCTCGAAAGTTGCTTGTGGGTCGTGGGAAATCCGCCAAGGAGGGCACTACATTTTGTAAATACCAACAAACCATGGTTCCCCATAGTTTTCTTCCTGGTGCAGGGTTTCGTCCATCAGTATGGATCCAGCGGTGAAGTCAGGCAGTCGTGTCGCCGTTGCGGCTGTTTTCATGCCAGGTGAGGGACGGCCGGTGGTATTTCCTGCGGCAGAATGCCTGGCTGCACCACACAGCTGTGGGCAACTTCCTGAAGGTGGGGTTTGGCTTGGCATGCTGCGTCGATTGCTTTCTGCCACCCCAATTCGACTTTGTGTCTGAAAATGGGGGATTCTGGAAGTGAATGGGTGGTTTCCATGGTTAAAATTATGCCACCAGGCGACCGCAGGTTTGAGTACCTATTTTTGACCCACACCCATTTGTTTTCCCGTTAAACCACCCCCTCAAACAGGGTGCGCTCCGGAAAAAAAAAGGCAGCGGGCCCCCGCGTTCCGAACTCAGGAGATGCAGCGATTGCCTGACCCTGGAGGCGGTGACGTCAGCTTGCATGATTGTCTGTTTGTCTGTCTGCGTGTGTTTTGCGCGTTTGTGTGTTTTGTGGGCTCTTGTGTTTGTTTGTTTGTTTGTTTGTTTGTTTGTTTGTTTGTTTGTTTGTTTGTTGGGTGGGTGGGTGGGTGGGTGGGTGGGTGGGTTGTTGGTTGGTTGGTTGGTTGGTTGGTTGGTTGGTTGGTTGGTTGGTTGGTTGGTTGGTTGGTTGGTTGGTTGGTTGGTTGGTTGGTTGGTTGGTTGGTTGGTTGGTTGGTTGGTTGGTTGGTTGGTTGGTTGGTTCGCATTGTTCGGATTGTTCGAATTGTTTGTTTCTTTATTTGTTTGTCCTTGTTTCTGTTTGTCTGCTTTTTTCTTCTTCTTTTTTTTTTCTTTGTCCTTTGGTTCCTTGTTTTTCTTTTGGCACCTCGGTTTGTTCATCCCTTTGTATCTTTGGAGAGTTTCGGACACCACAAGGAAGACCTGCCATTGTCGGGGGTGCCATGGAAAACCTAGCATATCTTCGGACCCGAGCGATGCCAGACATCGCCTTCGGCTTCCTGCAGTCTGCACCTCCCTCAGAAATCTGGCCGACGAGCTCAGGTACCCCTCTGGTTTGGATTGGATGGGGATCGGATTTGATTCCCTCAACTTGGAACATGGGAAAGGTACCCAACCTCAAAACCGCCCGTACCTTGGTCACCAAGGGATTCAGCCTCGATGGTTTGTAGGGTCACCGTCCCTCTTGGTTTAGCGAAGGGGCTCGAATAACCGAACCACCAACACGATCGTTCTGTGTACACTTTCTTTCGGCATGTTTAAGGCAACTAGTAATTCTTTGGCAGTGCAGAAGTGTACTTTGCCTTTGCTTGATCTGTTGAGTTGCATGCCTTTTTCTTTTCCTCGCTCTCTCTCTCTCTCTCGCTCCCTCCCTCTCTCTTGCTTTCTCACTGGATTCCAAGTTGATCAAGCAAAGCAGAGTTGGGTCAGGCTGGGGCAAATGTTGATTGGAGCTCACCTCCAGGTTTAAAACGAGCTCACCTGAAGGTTCTTTGGTCAAAGACCTGGCGTTCTGTTGGATTGGCCGTCCCTCCAAAGTTGCCTCCAGTATTTTCTGGAAACAAGTTTGGACACCCGTAGATTTGACCGGGCGAAAAATAACAACATGACATGGTGACTTTTCCAAATATTGGTCGGTTGCATCCACTTCCGCCATTTTGGGTCCCTGTTTTGACGCATATTTAGCACACGGGCTTGTAGAAGTTCCTGTAAGAAAAGGTCATTGGGTTTTAGAGTTGGCTTGTGGTTGGCTTGTGGTTGCAACATGTTAATTTTGGTTGGGGATCATGGGTTTTTGTCCACCATTAAGGGGCAACCACTAAACTTCATTCCCACACGGGTGTCTTTTTGGGTGTTGGCCCCCCTTTTTGTTTGCGGTTTCGAAGGGAAGCAAAACCAGGGCCACGGGGGAATCCGGACCCCCCCCCCAAAGGGATTCCGAGCCGCCCACGGATGTGTGTGGCTTAGGGGGAGCTGCTGCTGCAGCCGGGCTTGCTGGTGAGCAGCTCCGCCATGCGGAAGATCCAAGGCGCGGCCTGCAGTTTGAGCCATGGAGGCCTGGTCCCATTTTCCCGCTGTTTTTGGGGAAGGCCACCCTCCCTCGCACTAACATGGAAACTGAGAGGGGGTCCCTTCAAAAAAAAAATCATCTTCCAGGTTCCTCCCCACAGGTGCCATATTAGTTGGAGGAAATTGGGCAAAGGCAGGGGCCGAAGGTGGGGGCCGAGGCCGGTGCTACCCTCCTGAACATGGAACCAAAATTCACCCTTTGAGCTGGATTCACTTGACTGGCTGACCGGCTTGGAGCGGATTTGTGAAGCAAATTTTCCAGCTCGTATGTTTGTTTTTGGGAGGGCAGTACCTGATGCAAAAGGAATCTTATCGGAAACTAGTTGCCGCTTGAAGTTGATCCGGTAGGCTCACATTCACGAGGGATGGGTTTTGGCCGTGGAATTCACGGATCTCCGGTCGTTATCTTGACTCTTCGGGGAATCAAAATTGGAAGCTGGAAATGGCCGCGTCCCTTTAAACTTCTCGGGGGTTGACTCTCTTCTGGCAGAGCGGCTCTTTGAAGATTCTTTGCCAACGGCTGAGATGAGCAAGTGCTGACGGCCCAGGATGGGTTGCCTTTCTTCGACGGAACAGGGGAGGTAAATGGCGGTTGGCTTGCATTGAATTCACGGCCAGGCATAGAAGTTGTTGGGCTGCTTGGACCTTGGTTGGGCAAAAAGTAGAACCAGACCCTGATTCCCTGCAAACAACAGCTTGGTTGACAGTTGCGACAGCAATCCTTTTCGGGTCATTTGCCACTTTCGCGGCATGGCACATGGGTATGTACAAGCACCCGTGGAACTTTTGGTTTGCCCTGGGCGTTCTGAGTCTGGGCCCAGTCTGTCTGTGTGTGTGTGTGAGGCTTGGTCACAGTTTAGTGCAACATGTCTATGGTCCAATTGGGAGGGACGGGAACTCAGCCGCAAATTTCCCATTGTCCTCTTGGGGAAGCCAGTCATTTTGACCGATGCAGAAACCGTGTGGTGACCGACAGGCAAAGAGCTCACAGCAGCCTCCCTGCGCTCTCTGGGCATTCGCCTGGTCCACAACCCGCTCATGGTGCCGAGGGCGCAGCTGCTGCCAAGGATTCGGCCGGCCTGGATATGATGGATATGGGTCAACTAGGGACTTGGACCCCACAAACCTGGGTGAATTATAACGACCTCACACGACCTCACCCCAAATGGTGGTTTATGTGGGGAATAGCCCCCGAAACATCTTATTCCAGGCTGATGAAATATTATTATTGATTAAATGGCTCCGGTCTTCCTTCTGGCTCCCTATCCAAGGTGGAAAGGCTACCCCCCAGAAATCACACCGTGAGCAACCTTGGGCCTTTGGTATAGGCGCCCAATCTCCCTTTTTATTGATCTCATGGGGAAGAACTGTTTTTCTGAATTGGGCAAAGGTTTCAGTCCCTTATGGGCATCTAAGTCTTCCAAAGCCCTGGTCATGTTAGTTTGGGAAGCTTCCCGTAGAATCTCCTGACGCCAGTTTCTACCAGGGTAGTCTGTCTTAATGACGAACCCTTTGGCGGGCATGATCTACCTCGGGATTTATGTCCCACCAACCATGTTTGCGGTGGTTCCAAGAATTAGACACAGCCAAGCGCAGGAATGGCTTTGCTCCTCCAGACTATGAGGTTCGAAGTTTTTCTCGCAGTCTATGGTGACTTTGGCCGGGGTCGCCCTTCCCCTCCCGCTCCCTTCCCTCCCCTCCCCTGCCCTCCCCTCTCCTCCCCTCTCCTCCCGTCGCAGCCCCCCAAATTCCCACAGAGAACAGGGCACTCTATAGCCTGCATTTGTCCCTGGAGGGAAAAGCACAGACCTCTCAGCAGAGAACATTGCCCCCGGATAAGTCTTTGTCCCAGTCCTCCATGGGGAATCGAAGCCGCTTCCGTATATAACGGAACCATGCCGGTGTTTGATGGTGTTTTATGTGATGCGTGCAGATTCTGCAGACGCGGCCCATCGTTTGAGAACAGTGCATGGACAGATGCACATGGTCCAAACAGGTTTCATGGATGAACACTTGCGCCTGGCATGTGAAGAAGTCGCATTTCTGCAACCTTCCACCTTCAGTTGTGCTCGGCGGCACCTTTGTCGAGATGTCGGCTGCCAGCCTTTCGAGAAAGACGCTGACGCATCATGCCGAGAGCGAGGGATGCTTGGGTTTGACGGGCCTCTGATTCTGCGTTTGCATGTTGAAGGAGAATGGTACCATGGCGTGCTTGTTCAGCATGCTGTGACGTGTTGCAACCTAGCATGTATGCGTTGACATGAAGAAATGAACACATCTACACGATGCGTGTACAGCATGGCAACTTGCACTTGCAGTACCCTGGTGCCCGGTACCAGTCCACGCAGGACATTGATCGGCGCTGTGTCCGAGGGCTCATTGAGTGGTGCTTGGGCGATTGGCGATATCGAAGAGGATCAGATCTATCAGGAGCGGAAATTTCCCGCGTGGGAGGCCACTTGAGCAAAATGATGTGTCCTTGCGAGCCAATTCCAAAGTAGGTTTTGCGAGATAGAACTAACATTTGAACATTTGGAGTTAGGGGAAGGTTGCCACAAGTTTTCGTTCCATGGCTTGTGGAGTGGGGCTTGCATCACTCTTGCCGATCCTGAATCTGTATCAGAAGATGGCGTAAATGCCTGCCTGGTGCAGCCGCTCAACATGTTGAGACAGCACTGCGCAGTGACCAATTTATCTAGAGCACGCATCTGTGATTTGTCACGGTACCGTTGTACCGTTGGGGTTGATTCACAGGCACAAAGGAAAGCCCACCCATTTGAATTTAGAGGGTCCCCTAGCTGAACGCGCATGAGCGAATCACGTGCTAGGACCTGCAAATGAAGGCGGAGGATCGTCGATTCTTCGCGGGTCTTTTGCAGGAGAGGGCGACTGTCAGCTTCCCTCCAACCACTGGTTGGGCCAAGCCTTTCTTTAAACATGCTTAAGCTACATGGCCATTGTTCAAAACCAATGGTACCATTTTGGGGTAGGTGCACCACTTAAATAATTAATAGTAATATATATATATACATATATTTGAACCTAGAATTAAAGTAAATAAACATAATGACTAACATTAATATAGATGAAATATATAATTTAAGAAGTCAAACAATTTAAATTATATAATATCTAATAGTTTAAACTCAAGCTTACTGTTTAGCGTATTAATATTTTCGTTTCACCAATTTTAGTCTTTTTTTTAGTGGGGATTGGGATGTTCACTGGGGGTACGGGGTTTTGACCCATGGCACATAAGCACGTTTACCTCACCTTTCCGGCTTCTCATCTTGACCGAACAGTTGCAGATTGCTCCATCGGGGTGGCGAGGACCCATTGGCTTTGGGAACCCGACCCGTTTCGAGCTCCGGCCTGCTTTTGGTAAGCTAGGGAAAGCAAATTGGTTAGATGGGTACAAAGGAAAGCTGCGATTGAAGAAATCAGCTTGTCCGTGCCCTACATATGCTTGTGGCAGCGACTCATGCAGCGGTTTCCTCGAGGACAGCGCAGCCCGGCGTATCGCAGCCAGAAGGAAACCAGCCACCTTGAGGGTCCCCTTTTGAGGCATCCCTCAAACTCCCAAAAGGTCGCGCAGTCAGCGCTCAGAGACCCGGATTCGTTCGTTAGACAGCCTTTCAATGGATTTGTTCTTCCTCCCGCGCCCCATGGTTGTTGTTGGGAAACATTTTACATTTTTGCTTGTTGTGGTTTAGTGTTTGAAATCCCCACTTAACTGCTAAATATTAAATCTTTACTCCCCTTCCAACGTCAACCTGACACAAGATCCGTGTCCTTGAGGAGAACTTCGAAGATCTGACACAAGAGGATTGCAGCGCTGAGAGCCTGCGAAAGGCTCAAGACTGGCAGCGCTTCTTGCACAATGACGACGAGCACATCAAGGCGAGCGGGGCGGGGCGCTGAAACCGCGCCTTACCGCAAAGTCAGAACGAAAGACGTGGCGGAGTCCGGAGTCGCAGTTTCAGGCTGGCAAGAGAGTGTAGGACCAGAGGACCGCAGCCGCTGTCCGTATTGTACCTCACACCACTGTGAAAGGCGACGCAGTTCATGCAGATATACGTGCGGCACCAAAGCATCCCCCGTAGTCGCACATGTACAGGAGGAGTGAAGATCCTCCCCGGTCACTGATCGCAATTATTTTGACACTTCCCCCTGGTATTTCTGAGGCACCCCGCCCTATTTTTTGGGGGGGAACCAACATCTATTTCGACACATCAAACAGTTTTTGGAGACCCCACATGTTATGCGGGGTACCTTTGGTTCCAATTCAGTCGCCTCAGGTGGTGCGAGGCTTCCAATCCGGGCGCCGCGAGTTCCGCACCCTCCATGCCATGTACCGCTCCGAGGCGAGCAATGGCTCTGCTCTGCAAATTTCTTCGGCTTGCATGTGGGTTCCCTAAACAGCCCCAGGTAGCCACCAGCAAATTGTAACTGTAAGCGAAATCCCGTGCACAACACACACGCACCAGTCATTGGAGGCCAGCTGTTTTGGCGAGGACACGAACAACCCAAGTTCCCCCCACACACATCCATTTTTTCTATGCCGGCTTGGGGAACATGCAATACGTGGGTATGAAAATTTAAAGGCAATGTGGGACGCCTTTGCTTTTTTGGAGTTGGTACTCCTCTGGGGTCAACCATTTAAAGGTAATCCTTGATCCTTCCCTTGGGTTCCGCCAGGGGTCCCCTTTGTAGCGAGTTTTCTGTAGAGATTACGGTGGCCACGCCTCCATGTTGAACAGCCCAGTTTGTTTGGGCCCAGTATGTTGACGCATACCCGTTTTTGTTGCGCTGGCGTCGAACAGGCCTCCGATGCATTGCCCCTGCGTGGTGTGCTGCAAGACACGGCGCCCTGGTGGAATTTGGCGCAGTGGTTGGCGGCCTTTCTTGTCCAATAGATGGCACGGGAGTCTCTTTGGCATACCATTGAATCCTAAGAAAAGAAGTGGGGAAACGGTAAGAAGAGTCGCAATAAGATTGAATTACAATGATCGAGAGAGAGTGTGCACGAGGATCTTTTCTCCATGGAACATTATTCCAGAGAAGATAGCAAATGTGCGACAACATAATATGCATCATGTAATCCTAGATTCACTGCTGCATTTCCTAGACTTATTCTTGTTGACCCACCTATAGTAAACATTTATAAGAAGAGAAGGCAGAAGTAATTCTAAGGTGCAATAAAGATGGATTGGAGAGATATGTAAGCGGCCAACGAATGATTGTCATCACAGTTGGTACATATGATATGATTGCAACCTCCTGCAAAAACGCTCTTGTATCACGCACTAAACCTGCTGTATACATACCTTGGTCTTCCATTGACCCGCAAAGCCAGGGTCCTTCTTGATTTTGATCTTGGCTCCAAATGGAAATTCGGCCAAAGGCCTGCTTTTCCAGGGTCCTGGAAGATCCAGGATATGATGTCCCCAAACAAGACTTCCAAGAAGAGAAATCGATGACATGACAAAGATCATTGATTGCTTAGCAAATATTATTAAGTGTAAAATTCCATGAGCTTCGAGGGTGCTTCTGTAAATGCGGATGGTTCTGCCATATTACAAGCAAGGTACGGGGAAACCGATTCCTGCTTTACTAGGCTGTGTAGGGATTTGATTCAGTTGAGGAGAAATGGGAAGCCATCCCTCCTACCAATCCGAGACACCCAGTAGAGGGAATCTGAATCATAGCGCCTGTGTGAAGGTCACACCCTCAAGTGCCCTTGTGAGGGTCATCTGCAGGTTGACACGTGGCTCTGAGGTGCTGGTGGCGCGGAATTGCGAGGAGTGACGAAAAGATGACGTGCCGATTTTCTCACGCGCCACATGTTCGGCCTCAAGTGCACCTCATTTGACGTTTGGCACGCGGCCCACAACCCCTGATTGTTTCCTAGTGCTAAGGTGTGCATGTTCATATCGCGTGCCTTCATTTCGGATGCACCAGTTTCGCATAACATTCAATGCAACACGCATATTGGTCACTTATTAGTGGCTCCGGAGATTGCCACGCTGACGAGTAGAGTGTGTGGCATCGGTAGGTGCCAACACCCATTTGCGAATTTGCCCTCATGTGCTTGTCATGGGCCCTGTCTTGTTGCCTTGAGCCCAAAAAATGGCTGAGGTCTACCAATGAGGGCGCTCGCCTTCTTTTGCCTCCCGCCCCATGGCTGCAAGTGAGGTTCGGTCAATCCAGATGGTCCCGGGAGGGACCTGGGGGAACTCACGAAAAGTTCCCTCTTTGGGACTTTGGGAAGCATGCATTTGCTTTCTTCAGATGCTCATGTGGGCATGCCCCGAAAACGCATGTGGACCGACAGAATGGGTGTCTCAGCCCCGAGATTTTGGGACGCAGGTCGCCTCTTGGATGAATCCGGCTAGACTTGCCTGCCCTTAGGCCCTTAGCAAAGTTCGGAATTGTGCCATCGACACGAGCAATACATGGGATGTCTGAGAATAAGACCAACTCCAAAAACGGGTCGACCTCCAATGTGATCAGGTTTTTGCCCTCCCCCTCCCCCGGCATGAGGCTTGACTCTAGCTGGCCGCTTTTGTTCGGGGATAATTTGTTAATGTTGAAACGCATGTGGAAACATGAACTGTGTTTGAAATGCTTGACCATAATGGCCCCGGCCATTTTGGCTCAAGCCTGGATATTGGGTTCTCTGAACCCAACTTTGTGGAAAAACTTGAAAGGTAGCACTTCCGAAACAACCCCGAACCAGCAATGGCCTCCTCAGCAACTTCGGCAACGTCCTTTGAGTTGATTGAGGACCAGGCACTCACCGCGGAGGAGGTGGAAATGGCCAGCCAGGAGGCCCAGGAAGCCCGCACACGCGAGGCGGCTGTGGCGGCCGGCCTGGTGTTGGATGAGCCCGAGGCGCCCCCGTCGGCATCGGCCACCGATGTGATGAACGACCTCTCCAGTGCACTGGAGCGACTCCGCGTGGCCTTCTCCACACCGACTCCCGGCCTGGGTGCCCCTGGCCCCGCCGAGGACGAGGACACGGAGATGAGCGATGCGGTCACCACGGAGCGGGCTACTCCACCAACGAAGAGGCTGAAGGGCTTTGTGGCGGCCTCCCAGAAGACCACGACCCCGGTGAACAAACCGGTCTCCCTGGTACCGGTGGATGGCCGTCCTGGCTATTTCAAGCTAGTGGACCTCCCAGACCTCTTCCCGGTCCTTCCGGCATCGGCGGCCACGTTGTTGAGGGACGTCACGGTGGAGGAGGCGGTCTCCCTGTTCCACAAGTTTGTCGGTAAGAATCTCACGGAGGACTTGGTGGTCCGCATCCTGGAGGCCTATGTTCCGATGAAGATCCAGATCCGGCAGGAGGAGGTCTGGGCCTCACAGTTCCAGCGGAATAAGGCATGCATTGGCACCCAGCGGATGCACAGACTCGATGCCGGCCAATCGGACTACAAATTCATGTGTAAGGCATGCGGCACGGGATGGCCGGAGGCAGCCAATCAATGCTGGGTCTGCCCGGGCAAGGAGTTTGTCCCCTTCCAGGCACCCTCTGCGACCTACGAGGCGGACGGCGTCACGTACAACCTGCTCATTGTGGAGGGCAAGCCGACCTGGATCCAGCAGCGGGATGGGGGAAGCCTGGGTGCCTCTGGCCCCGGTGGTACCCGGGCGCAGGCAGACCGCAACCTGGTGGACGGCACGATCCTGGGGAGAGCTCCTCCGAAAACGGACACGGCAGAGGAGATCACCATGGCTGATGTGGTCCCGCTTAACAGGCGGGTGGATATCCGGCAGAGATCCTGTCCATGGAGGACGATGAGGCGTTGAAGGTCCGGGAGCGCCAGGAGGTCAAGGTCAAGGTGCAGCGGTCCTTGCAGGAGGCAGAGGCTCAGAGCTTCCAGCTTTACCACCCCCAGGTGGACCAGGCGATTCGGAAGAAGGAAGAGCTGCACAAGGCCTTGAGGGAGCACCGGGAACCGACCGCGGAGGAGTCATCGGCCAGGCAGCGGCACAAGGAGCTGATCACGGATGAAATGCTGGACAATGAGATGGCAATCCTGGCGCCTCTCCAGGAGGGCATGCAGGCCCTGCCGGCAGAGGAGGTGGCCAACGAGGGAGCCCGGGCCCTCAGGAAGGTCAACCTTAAGCGGTTCAAGGCCAAGCTACGAGATCAGTACCTGGAGGGTAAGGGTGTCGACGCCAGCCAGGCACTGGCTGATGCGATGGGCTCCATTCAGGAGGCGCAGGAGGCGAACCAGGACACCAACCAGGCATGGATGCTTAACCACACCCTCCAGCCCTTGGAGGTGTCGGCATGGCCAGATGACCTCAGACAGGCTCTGGAGAGGGGGCTGTTCCCCAACGTGGGGGACATCAAGGAGAAGTACGTCCCCTACATCCGGAGGCTCAGAGAGGCACAGAACCCGTGGAACCAGGAGGCGTTGCTGGAGGAGATGCCCGATCTGGCAACGCCGGCCCCCCCCAAGGGTGCCACTGGCCCCGGGGCCTGGACACGGAGGAGGGGAAGCTGTCCCTGCTCCTCTGGGCGATGAAGAGGCACCAAGGGGAATCTGGAAGAAGCATTTTAGCGGCGAAATCCCCAAGGGCGCGGACCAGCAATTCAAGCTCTCGCCGGAGGAGCTCCTGGCCCTGGAGCGCAGGACCCACCCACTCACGTGTGAGCGGGACCACATCGACCCGATCATCTACTCGGCCTTGGAGATCCGAGCGCAGGTGAACCGGGGTGAGCGCCCGGCGCCGGAGCAGGTGGTGGGGATCTTCTGGGCTAAGGGCGATGGCGTGTTTTGGACAAGGCAGACTCGCACGTGGGACCTGCCGAGCTTGACAGGGGTGTACGCCCACCGATTCACCTTCAAGTACATCTACTCGGCGTGGACCACATTCCCACTGGTCGTGAAGACGCAGCGACGGGGCCGCAATGCGGAGGGCTCGACTTCGGATAAGTGGATGGGGAACATCCTCCAGATGCGGAAGGAGGCGGTCCCCTTCCTGGAGAGCCTGGGAATCCCCAACGCGCACGAAGGCGGAATGGAGCTACATCTTTAAGGAGATGGGGACGTTTCTGGCAGCCAAGAACTTCATCGTCAATTGCCCGTTGCCGGTGATGGAGCTCCCAGTGGCCCCTGTCCACGACAGCAAGGAGGCCCTGCGTTTCAGGGCGGTCTGTGACGAGCGCATCACGCTCCCGCTGTCATCGTTGAGGGCTTTTGACTCGGTGTACACCAAACTGGTGGCAGGCCTGAGTAAGTCCTCCATGGTGGAGATCAAGGTCAACTGGCGGTGCAACGTGGTCCATGACTGGGTGGAGCCGGTCCCGCAGGAGGCGGCGGGGGCCCTGTACGACCGTCTGGGCTACTCCCAGGACCTGATCATGCAGCTGGGCTGCTCCCCCCCCTTGGGTGCCTCCGGCCCCGGGGGCGGGGCGGCCAAGGAATCGGACCCCAAGGCCAAGATTCTGGCGGGAGCGGACACCACGCTCCGCACGCCGGACCAGGGCACCAGAAGGTACCCCCCGATCACCACGTCCACGGTCACGGCAGTCGCGGGCAAGAAGTACACCAACAAGCACTTCCCGGTGGGAACCAAGCACGTGTTCTGGGCCTCGGTGGAGTGCGGCCTGGTCCTGCCCAGCATCAGCGCATGGGAAGTGGTGGGCAAGGAGAAGTTCAAGACCACCGGGGGCTACATGTGCAGGTTCTGCAAGGGCTTCTGGAAGGCGAGCCGTGGGGGGACCCGGCTGCTCCAGATTACGGGGTGGCACAAGGACAAGGCCACCTGCCTGCAGCTGGTGATGGACGAGCCCCCGGAGCAGCTATATAACCAGTGGATCCGGGACAGGATGGAGTTCTACAAGCGGGTGGAGCCGACGGAGCCCCCCAGGGACGAGCGGCTAGTCCTTGGAGATGCGAGCACCCCGCGCATGCGCTTCAGCTCTTCGAACGGCCTGGGGGATGTCTCCACTGCCCTGTGGTCGGTCATCCTGAGCAACCCGGAGAAGTCAGGGCTGGCGGCCATCCACTCGGTGGCAAAGGAGGCGATCTTGAAGGGTGAGAGCCGCTAGGTCGTGTCTCACTACCCTTTGGATGTGGCGTAGTCTGTTCTTCCCCACCGGGACTTGGGTGCCTCTGGCCCCGTCTTGGGTGGGGGGAGGTTTTGGGGTGTTTTCCCTTCTTTTGGGGTTCCTTGTTCACCTTGGTTTCCCCCCTGTCTCAACACGCCACGACTGCCGGTTGCCTCGAACCGGAGGCTGCGCAATTCGGTTGCCCCAAGGACGGGCCGTATCGGCCACTGTTTGAAGAAAGTGGCTGCGGCCGACTCTGGGTTCCCTGAGGTCCCCTGAAGGTTTTGGGGAATCCCCCGTTGGGCTGGTCTTCCCCCTCCGTGGTTCCTGTTGGGGATTTCCGGGGGTTTGACTTTTGGGCCCTGTTGGGCTGCGTGTGGCCTGCCTGCCCCATGTGCATCCGGCATACTGTGGGGTTGAAACTTTCGTGCAGTTTGCCGCGGCTGGGTCCCGGCCGTTCGATAGGAGGCTCGAACCCTTGTTTTCAGCATGGCCAGGGTCTCTACACGGTTTCTGTTGCGCCCGCCTTACACTCGTCTTTGGGACCGGATCCCAAGGGTCCTTTGGGACACGCTGGCGGATGAGTCTATCTCCCCGAGACAGACGGACGGGGAGCTGCTGGTCCTGATGTGCCTGCGCCATGGCACGGCGGAGGAGGGGAGGCAGCTGGGCGGGGAGCCGGCCCTCCGATTCGCTAAGCTCCTGGAACTCTCGGGCATCCCGGTGGACCAGACGGACC